TAATCAGAGTTTGAAATATCAAAGGTTTACAACATCGGGTTCTAAAGATATTGAGGCTTAAATATTTGATTTTGTTACAAAGACTCAATTCCTTTATTTTAAACCTGAATTTTTTTAATACGCATTTGACATACAAACTTGAACATTCCTGGCCATCAGGAACATCTTTTAGTGGTGATTCTCGTTAAAATTATTGGTATTTTGAAACATGGTAAACAATCCTTTTGGTCCTTAATATTGAATCCTTTGCTTTTTAAAGTAAAAGATGAAGAATTTCCCTCAGTTAGGAAAAGCTTTATAAAGGTTATAGGTAAAAATGACGTCCGGAAGATCCAGAAAATGATGGGATGGGGGACCTTGTTGGATTTCTTGATTCTTGAAGGAATGGAAATGAAACATTCAATTGTTTGCTTTGAAACAGAAAGATCTACAAAAAAAATCGAAAATCAGAAGAAGAAAAAAGATTGGAATGGAAAGATAAAGTAGTCTAGCTCCGTTCCGAACATGCATTCTCATCTCTCCTAAACAAAGGACTTTGAATTAAATAAGAAAATTAAAAATTGTAAAAAGCATTTTATTATTTTTTTTAGCTAATTTACAAATGCATTTTTTATACCCTGAAACTTATCAAATTGACAAAATGTGGAAAATTTTTTTATGCTTTGACAAATATTTTCCTCTAACGAGCTGATCACTTTCCTAAACTGTAACTTTCCTTTGTCTATATATTTGCTACTAATGGTGTAAATCTTCGATATATAATCTAACATTGTCCGACATCAGGAAGCGAAGATACACGTCTAAGATAAGAGTTGGAGGCAAAACAACGATGTTCTGATTAAAGACTTCAATGAAATAACTTTTTTTTATTAATATATCAAAGACATTTTTATCGAAAATAATCATAAGAAATTCCTTACCATCTGAGACATATACCGTAACCATCCCTTTTTCAGCGTTTGCGCTTCCACAAGTATAGTTTCCACCATCCTCCAGTAGGGCACTGCTGATCAATAACCGAGTACTGGTCTTCTTAGTTCTACTCCCTTCATTATAACAAGAAGTCAGGTTAATTCTTCATTTCGTTTCAAAACATAAATGGAAGAAAACCAAATGAAAAGTGTAATGAATATTTCAATTTAAAGTTGATAATATTTTTACCTGAATCGAATGATACTTTTGTTCGTCTTGTATCATAAGAAATAATCTTATTATTGTGATACCAGAAAACAAACTGCGGTGGCTCCAAGGTCTACGTGGATTTCAAATTATTGATATTTTTATATTGTGGGACATAAGAAAACAGACTGTGCACTATCATGTTTTTAACAGTTAAAAAATCTTACATCTTCTATAATGCAGACGAGAGATATTGCTGTCCCAGTTTGAGCATAGTATTCTTCACTGCCTAGTATATAAGCGCGGGGAACTATAACCTTCAGATTATAGAAATGTGATATACTCCCCTTAGACGTGGAAACCTAAAACAAAATTTGAAAATTTAAATAAGATTCCAGTATTTCGAAATAATGTTTCTTCATAACTAATCTAGGTTGTTAGGAAAATTGTAATTAAGCATAATGTTTTTCTACATAAATCTGTTCTTTGATCTATCTTATTTCATACAAGAATAACGGATTCTAAGAACTGAAGAAAAAACGCAAACTTTTATAGAAATCTTGAAAAGATGAGACTCCGTGATGCTTTACTTGATTTCGCAACTTAAATATAAAGGATAGAGGGGGAAAGTTTCTCAGATTGTCATGTGTTCTGATTAAAAAATATCACTGAAATTAACCTTAAAGAAACTAAATCTGCAAAAATATTAAACAAAGAATAATCAGTATTTATCTTGTGAATTATGAGACGTTTAAATGCGAAAAACCTAGTTGTATATCGTGTGAATAAATTTTATATAAAAAACTAAAATAACTGAAACTTTATTAGCTTATTTCTGTTCCTATATCTACCATCCTTGACCTTAACACCCTGTATCTTAATTTATCTCTACATTAAAATCCCTCTGATCTCACCCTGCCACAGATCACCTGACAATCTCCTTCCTTCCAATCAACTCCTTACCTATCCAAAAACGTAACTTGATATGTGTGACCAATTATATTCAGTACTGTTAATTAACTTCGGGCCAACCACTCAAAACAACCAACCCTGGTTAGGCGGGTCCAAACTGCCTAGTAAATTGTGATTGCTTTTTTTAATATCTCATGCTTTGTTGTTGAATAAAAATATGAATGAATGAATTTTAAGTTTAAAATTCTATAAAATGCCACTCCCCCCTTCTCAAAAAAAGTAAAGATGAATGACCTGACATGAATAAACTCCCTCGTCATTCTTGTTCACGTATTGAATTCCTAGACTCCAATCATGAGCTGTAGCCTGCCTCACTGAGAATCTTTCATCCTATTAATAGAAGAATTTTAAAAAGTAAGCAGGATTTACAGGAGTAGCTTTTTTAATAGTGTTATCTGGTTAGAAGTAGTTTTCATTTTGTATAAAGTCTCTGCTTATAAATCTCCAGCTCTAAGTCTACTTATAGTCGTCTTAGTTGTATTTTCGTTGTAGTCTTCCCTCAGTAGTCTTCAGTTTTAGTTATAAGTTAGTTTCCAGTCAGCAATGTGTTGTTGGTTATAATCTCCAGACAGTTGTGTTGATAATTGGAGACTGAGCTGTGCGGCTAGGACATGCTTGGGGTCTAGCTCTGCAGAGGAAAAAAATCTGGATTTTGCCTTTTTTAAAGAGTTTGTTCTTTCAGGAGTTTGTCTTGTCAGGAGTTTGTATTTCCAACGTTCATCATGGCGCTAGATATTACCTTTGTATATGTGCTGGGTCCTGTAGAAAGAATATGCCAGTCCCTCAATCGTATCCATGATACCTGTTCAAAAAAGTTCGATAATTTAGAGATTAAAATTATTCACCTCAATTTAAAAATATTTATAATTTTTTTTAAATTTTAGAAAAATATGAATAAAATGGTATTTTTTTGTCACAACATCGACAACGCATGATTTTTTTTATCTTAACCCATTACATTTATATTCAGACCCCGGAATCTTACTTCAACCCTCCAAGATCTGCCAACCTCCCCTGGATTAATGAAAAGGAATTGAGTCTTTGTCACAAACTTTGATTTTCTAATCACTATATCTTTGGAACCAAATGTTGTAGACCTTAGATATTTCAAACTATGAATTCTGTTAAATCAAATAATCAGAGTTTGAAATATCAAAGGTTTACAACATCGGGTTCTAAAGATATTGAGGCTTAAATATTTGATTTTGTTACAAAGACTCAATTCCTTTGTTGCCATCACATTAATGGTCGCTATAAATACAACTTTACTTGAAATCTTATTTACGGGATGCAAATTAAAGTGATTTCTTATTTGTTCTCTATAGTTCAGACTGAATAGGAATGCTCAGGAAGAGGGAGAATTATCATATTATTCTCATTTATAAAATATGACTGTCTACCAGCCTTTGCAAGAATCATTTCTAGACAAATTATGGCGATAAACTAAGAAATGTAAGATTGTAAAGAAATATATATTTAGAACTATTACAAACAGTAATCACCTTTTTTGTTGCCTATAAAACTATTTTCAAATGCAAAAGGAAAACTTTATCTGCGAACTTGATCATAAATACGATTTGGAGAGGGGGGGGGGGGGGCAAAAGACAAGTTCAATTTTGATTCAGATATCTATCGTTTCATCTATATATAAATTTGGCTTCTCTGTCTGTTTGTTTGTTTATTTGTTTGTTTGTATCCAATAAACGTCAAAACGGCTGAACCGATCGGTCTCAAATTTTTTGTGGGACATCACGTGGCCACAGGGAAGGTTTATCAATGATAAAAATTTAAAAAAATGTTTTTTAAAGGTTTTTAATTTTGTAAAAAAAAAATCTTGAAAATCCGCGAATTTTTTTAAAAATCCGCCAAATTTTTTCTTCTTCGTTTTAAATGTTCAAAATTTAAATAGAAGATGGGCGCGAAGCGCCCTAAAAGCCTAGTATCTTAGAATTAAAGAGAACTATTGATACTCAAGAACATCATGATGGAAAAGATCTATTATATTATGTGTTTATGTAAATTAGCGGTGTATAAACTAGGTTTGTAAGTGAACTACATAGATTTATACATAATCTGACAAATAAAGATAAACTATACAAGCTTACATGACAAGGAGACAATAGATGGACACAATAATTCCTTCTTTTACCTTCTGACGTGGATTAGAAAAAAAACTTGATATGAGTATTAATACATTGCTAAAAAAATCCTAACATGGTTCAGAACTACTTGTTTAGCAGTGAAAAGTATGTTATGCCCTCAATTTTATGGGAGAAATAAAAAATAAAAAGTACTTACTGGATTATTTTGGAAATTATTTTTAATTTTGCAACTGAGTAAAGCAGTAGTTCCTTGGTGAGCAGTCAGATTAGTCACCTTGAAGAAAAAAATAGAGTAAACATATCATGTGCTCACCTTCATTTTCAAAAATAGTCAAAACCAAGGAGAATTGAATACAAGGAGGGGGCAATAGGATTTCCGTAAACTTTGCTGTGACGTTTTTGGATTCCTGGAGAACTAGTTTTTGCGTAACAACAATAATAAAGGCAGCCGATCTAATATAAAAAAACATGACTTAGTATACGGTGAATCTTCATCTAACGCCAGAGATGCACCAAATGTCTGTTTATCATTTGTGTTATTGTTTGCAATCTTTATTATTGTTGTTACACAAAAACTAGTTCTTCAGCAGTCCAAAAACGTCACAGCAAAGTGTACGGAAACCCTATTGCCCCCTCCTTGTATTCAATTCTCCTTGGTTGAAACTAAGTTATAAGAAAATTAGTTGAGTTTTAGAGCGACCGCAACAGAAGTAGACAATCTTAGAATCTTTGAACGAAGGTAGAAACATAATTTATTAGGAGTTTTTTAATGGCGCTCTTCAATCTAATCTTATATATATGTATACTTTGCTTGTCTGTTTGTCTGTTAGTTTTTATCATATAAACGTCAAACAGCTGAACCGATCAGGCCCAAATCATGTGTGGGATCTCATGATCCATTGAAAAGTTTATCAATGATCAAAATTTTAAAAATTAGCCTCCAACAATTTTATATTTTCATTAAATTTTTAAAATCCACGATTTTTTATAAAGTCCGCGAACTTTTACAATGTAAACAAAGAAAAAATGTTTACAATTAAAATAGAAACTGGGCACGAAGCGCTCTGGGAGCCTAGTACAGATGAAAGTGCTTTATACTAAAATAGCTGAATCGTAATACCTGACTTCCCTCAAATATAAGATTAGTTTTAGAATCCTCGAGAAATGTTCCAGTTCCTGATTATGAAATATTATTAGTTCGATACATCTTTATTCCTTTTAAAAATGACATCTGAAAATTGCGATAAAAAGAGGAAAAGTGGCGGTGCGATGCAGGTAGGGGATAGATGGCCCATTCACAGTAGTATTTGCTCAAGATACATTCGGTTCTAATTTCCGCTAAAACATTGATTACAAAAAAAAAATTATCGTCAGGGTTCATATTATGGAAAGAACGTTTAATTGTTCATTTTTGGAACAGAATGTGAATACATTAACAATTTTCATGCGCTGAAATGCTGATGAGCTAAAATGGATACATTTTCATTTATTTTAGAGTAAAATGGCTTCAATTCTGTAAAACAATAAAAGCCCACTGCAAAATGGGCGGATTTTTGATAATAAGATTTCGGGAATGAAACTGTAAAATCTTGCCTTCTCAACTATAGCAGGGACCCTAGGAAATGTGTCTCTCGCGGAAATATTTTCCTGTGATTTTGAACGTGTTGTTCATTATTCTAAATTTCTAATTTCTAAATTTCTAGTGAATGGTTAGATAAGTCGGATGCAGCATTCTCCATGATATTGTAAAGAGATATTATTAAGCGCCTGTACTGTCTCTTCTTCTTCCTTACAGAGATGGATTCATAAAAAAGGAGTCTTGCATGCTCAAGTTTTCAGAGCTTGGGAACCTGGAAAAGATAAAGCTGTGGGCAAGTTCTGGAGTTTATAAAGAATTGGTGAAGCAGTCTGCAATAGGAAACGAAATGTTCCTATATGGGGCTGGATAAGTAGATCAGGTATGACGGTGAGGTTGAAAACATGGTTTTGACAAATGATGGAGATAAAGTATTTAATATACGGCTTGAAGTTGGAACCCAAGTATTCCAAAACAGTTTGCTTTATACCAACATAAGGTTGCTTACATATTGTCTTTCTTTTTTTCAGTTTTATGAATCTCGCTGTATTAGGATTAGAAATTTTCATGGGGAGAGTGTTTAGTTCCCCTAAGAAATCGTATGCCCTGTTACCTAGTAAATAGTATTTGTAATAGAAAATTGTATGTCTGACAATCATTCCTCCTCATATTCATTTATTGCTTTTACCCGGGGCTATCAAAAAGCCATTTTATTTGCTTGATATGTAGATTAAACAATCTACATATTATTCTCTTATCTAAACATCTTCACGTGGAATATACTCTCTATCTTATTGATATCGTATTAAATTATTCTTTTTCTTCTAAAATATATATTTCCAGCAACTTTTTCTTGTGTAAAATCATAACTTTAGATTATCAATAACTACTCAACAAAATTTCATACATTTGAGACCGAGTAAGAGGAAAATTACGAGAAAGGCAGTAAACCATTAGCTTACTTGGGTCAAAAGGATGTTTTTTCAGTAACCTCTCAACTTTTCTATTATACTGGAAAAGTTGTATATTACATGGCAATTCAGAGCACCACCTTTTCAATATTGATAACCATTTTTGTTGATCAGTTGGGTCTCATCAAGTCATCTTTTTTTAAGTCCTACTGAAAAGTAAAATAAAAATGTCTTACATATTTCCGTTATTGTTTGTGGTTTGATTAAATTAAAGATAAACTTGCCAAAAAACCGATGCCGTGACATACCAAATCGTTGTTTATTAAAAACAGTCTAAATGACAGACATCAATTAACTAAACAGTTTTAAGCCCAGCCTATTAGTTCAGAACATTCGAGAAAAATATTATTATTATTTCAGAATTATAAAACCACAAGTTCCATCGTAGAACTAAAATTTCCTTGACTATCCCTGGTTTTCAAAATATTATGAAATCACAGATAAATTCAATTCAGGCATATTTGGTTTATATCATGTTTACATTCCATTTTCTTTTAGCTTCTACGATACATTCATTGATTAAACAGGAGATTGTTTATCTGGGTGAACAGGAGAGGCTTGTTTACCTTGACGAACAGGAGAAGATTGTTTACCTGGATAAACAGGAGAAGATTGTTTACCTGGATAAACAGGAGAGGATTGTTTACCTGTATGAACAGAAGAGGTTTGCTTACCAGGATGAATAGAACAGAATCGTTTACCTGGATAAACAGGAGAGGATTGTTTACCTGGATAAACAGGAGAAGATTGTTTACCTGGATAAACAGGAAAGGATTGTTCACCTGGATAAACAGGAGAAGATTGTTCACCTGGATAAACATGAGAGGATTGTTTACCTGGATAAACAGGAGAAGATTGTTTACCTGGATAAACAGGAGAGGATTGTTTACCTGGATAAACAGGAGAATATTGTTTACCTGGATAAACAGGAGAGGATTGTTCACCTGGATAAACAGGAGAAGATTGCTTACCCGTAGAAACAGAAGAGGTTTGCTTACCAGGATGAACAGAACAGAATTGTTTACCTGGATAAACATGAGAGGATTGTTTACCTAGATAAACAGGAGAAGATTGTTTACCTGGATAAACAGGAGAAGATTTTATACCTGGATAAACAGGAGGAGATTGTTTACCTGGATAAACAGAATGTATGAACAGAGGAGGTTTGCTTACCAGGATGAACAGAACAGAATTGTTTACCTGGGTGAACAGGAGAAAATTGTGTATCTGGATGAACATTAGAGGATTGTTTACCTTGTCCAACAGGAGAGGATTATTTACCTGGATGAACAGGAGAAGGTTGTGTACCTGGATGAACAGTAGAGAATTGTTTACCTGGATGAACAGGACAGGATTGTTTACCTGGATGAACAGTAGAGGATTGTTTACCTTGATAAACAGGAGAGGATTGTTTACCTGGATGAACAGGAGAGGATTGTATACCTTGATCAACAGGAGAGGATTCTTTACCTGGATGAACAGGAGAGGATTGTTTACCTGGATGAACAAGAGAGGCTTGTTTACCTGGATGAACAGGAGAGGATTGTTTTACGGAAAAGATGAGGAGAAGCAGAGTAACCGTCAGTCTCATTAATTCGTTCATAATCTGGGAACATTTAACTTTATAAGAAACCTTCGAAACTTTTACATTTAGTTATTTTAGTGATTCAATCAATTCATTGGTATTAGTCTTACTTGTCAAAGATAACTGTGACCGGAGAAAAAGCTAAAGGCTATTTAGTTAACCCTGAAATTGCTCAAATAAGTGAACGGCCCCTTTAACCTTGATCTAAATGATCACAGTTTTTTAGAAAATCAATGTATTTTCTTGCACAAAGGAACTGAGTCTATGCAACAAACGGTCCATTAAAATCCAGCTAATATGTTTTGAATAGACAATAGAAAATGTATTCAGCTTATTTTAATTAATAACTTACATATATTAAATATAAATATTTATTTATATGTTTATAAATACTCAATATATAAATACATACATATATGCTCACTAAATATATTTATATATATACATTAACCCCTGAAAGTTTTCTCAAGTACCAGGGAACTCTTTAAGCTTATCCAGAATCTGCATGAGTCTCCTTTATGTATTTATGATAAAAGTTTAAGCTTTCTCAGAAATTTATTTACCACCTTTTAACAAAAGATACCGAACCATATTTCTCTACAAACTGCAAGATATTATGATAAACATCATCCAGCTGCAGTGAATATTTTCTGCATACAAATTTCCGGAGTTATGGATAGTTCCCAGTCACAGTAATACAATAAAATTTGTAGTTTTCGTCTGTTCCTCATAGTGTAGTGTTAATTATTGAATTAATGATGCAGAATTGTGATACATCATAGAATATTCAACAGTTGACTATTTATTAATGAGTTCTTATTATATAGATAGATTAATTAACTTCAAGCATTATTGTTTTATTCTTTTTCAATAAACAAAGAAACGGAATATTTGCCACAAACTCAAATTTTCTTATCCCTTTATCTATGCAATACGATAGTGTAATTTTATTAATATGTTAAAATTATTAAATCTATAGTTAGAAATATCAAATGTTTGTAATCAAGTTGCAAAGATAGAGGGATATAAAAAAGTTAAGAAAAACAAAAATTCAAGGACACTTAAAGCAACTTAGTCTTTGCAAGAAACTCAGATTTTATAATTCCTATATCTTTGCAACCTGATACATAACCTTTTATATTTCAAACATCGACTATTTGAACAAACAAAATTCATAGTTTGAATTATCAAAGGTCTACGACATTAATAGCTGTATGAAAAATATAATTTTTAAATTATTTTTTTATCGTTAAGAAAAAGAAAAATTTTAGATATATTTGAAAGAACTGAGCTTTTGCAACAAACTCAAATTTTTGACTCCCACGACATCGGGTTGCAATAAAATAGGGATAAAAAAGTTAGGATTTGTGGCAAAAACTCATTTTCTTCTTGTAAATCATTAGTTATGGCGTTGTTTTCTCTGCGAGGTTTCATTGGAATATTTGGAAAATTGCTAATGAAAGAGACTAAATGGAATCACGTGGTTTTCTTTATCATACCAACTCAATAAAATTTTAAAAAGTATAAAGACCATTGAATTTGCATATATCGTTTTTAATTTTTAGATCTAAGCTCCGAGGATTCGAGCCTCTATCTAATTACATAGAATTTAAAACTAATTTTTTCATTGTAAGTTTCAACGCCACCTCTTAAAAATAAAAACTGCTATACAAATGGTGCCCGATAAAAATTTCCTTACAAAGGTTTTTTTCACAAAATTTGCAGAGCAGTGATAAGTGATAAGTGATGCTATGACTGCAACCGTAAGGTCGGCTATATTGTAATAACTTGGAACTGTGGCGCGGATTAATGGAAAGGGTTTGCATTAACCAACTCAAATAACAGACGGTATAAACATTTTTCCATAACTTTTATCAGAAAAATATCTAAATATTCAAACATATCTAAATCTCAGGAACACACTCATTGATTTTATCCCTTTGTAAACCCAGAAGCCAAGAAAGGTAGCAGTGGAGGATTTTTGGTTATAACTTGTTATACAAAGGTCATTTGAAAAGTTAAATGAGCGTACATTGTATACATTGTGTCCGGGATTTGGAAAATCTAAATGTCGGAAAATACTCTTTCCGATTTAGTCACCTGAGAAGTACATCGCATAGTGAAACTAAAGTTTTTATATAAAAATATGCCAAATGTATAAATTGCCAAAAAAAGTTATAAATAATCCGAAAGGTTGGCTGGATATCCATTAATAATTCAAATTGGAATTTGAAGTTATTAGACCTAACATTTCAAAAGTGTGTTGGGGGGGGNATTCACAACCCTATCCCTGATCCTTGATACTCTGAGTAACTCAACCCTATTATTGACCCTGATTCATTATATGCTGTTCTACATTCTCTAAATGATACTTTGATACTTTGATACTTTGATACTCTGATACTCTGAATTACTCGACCCTATTCCTGATCCTTGAAACTCTGAGTAACTCAACCCTAGTCCTGACCGTGATCCTTTATATACCATATATATTGTTGGAACTGAACACTTGCCACAAACTTTAAAATTCTATTTCTTATATCTTTGCAACCATATAGTGTAAACCTTTGATATTTCAAACTACAACTAATTGATATATCAGAATTCACAATTTGAAATATTAAAGGTGTATGACATCAGGTTTCAAAGAAATAAGGATGAGAAAATTACAGTTTGTTACAAGTGTTGATTTCCTTTATCCCTGATCCTTTATAATCTGATAAACTCAAACCTATTTCTGATCCTTGAAACTCTCAGTAATCCAACCCCTGTCGGTATATTCAAATCTATCCCTGATCCTTGATAATCTGAGTAACTTAACCCTATCCCGATGTATTTTGGGTATACTCAACCCTGTCCCTGATGTATTCTGGATATACTCAACCCTATCTCTGATGTATTCTGGGTATACTCAACCCTATCCCTGATGTATTCTGGATATACTCAACCCTATCTCTGATGTATTCTGGATATACTCAACCCTATCTCTGATGTATTCTGGGTATACTCACCCCTGTCCCTGATGATTCTGGATATACTCAACCTTATCCCTGATGTATTCTGGGTATATTCAACCCTGTCCCTGATGTATTCTGGATATACTCAACCCTATCCCTGATGTATTTTGGGTATTCTCAACCCTATCTCTGATGTATTTTGGGTATACTCAACCCTGTCCCTGATGTATTCTGGATATACTCAACCCTGTACCTGATGTATTCTGGATATACTCAACCCTATCCCTGATGTATTCTAGGTATACTCAACCCTATCCCTGATGTATTCTGGGTATACTCAACCCTATCTCTGATGTATTCTGGGTATACTCAACCCTGTCCCTGATGTATTCTGGGTATACTAAACCCTGTCCCTGATGTATTCTGGGTATACTCAACCCTATCCCTGATGTATTCTGGGTATACTCAACCCTGTTCCTGATGTATTCTGGGTATACTCAACCCTGTTCCTGATGTATTCTGGGTATACTCAACCCTGTCCCTGATGTATTCTGGGTATACTAAACCCTATCCCTGATGTATTCTGGGTATACTCAACCCTATCCCGATGTATTCTGGGTTTAACGGAGAAAAAAGGGTCTATTCCAAAAAGATGTACATTGTAAACTTCCAGATGTCTCAGCCCTTTAATTCATTATATTTATATCGGTTCAATTTTCTGACCAACGAATAATATGTTGAACACAATTAGCTTTCTACCGGATACCGTTACTGTTCCTTGTCACAGCCTAAATAGAATTCAACTTAATCCATTTAACGTGTTCTACAGGTTGGGTAACCTTAAAAAGGCAAAAGAAAGTTAAGCCATGATTGTAAAAATGGTTCTTGAAGAATTCTATAGTAATCAACATTTCAGCAAAAAAAATTGTATTTTTTCCCAGGACCTTTTTGGAGCAAATGTTGTTCAAATCCTTGCCATTTTTCAAATCTTGCTCTAAAACTTTGTATGACTTTGTATGCAGCACCATACCACATGTCATCTCATCAATAGGAAGCTAGGAAGCTTGGGATTTTGGTTTGAGAAACTTTTATTAGTATCGACTGTTTGTGGGGTTTTTTTGGATTTTTTTCTGCTGAGACATTTCCTCCTTCTGTCAACACTCAAGATCCATTACATTTTTTCCCTTTCACTCCACTTGTAGACTGTTATTCTCCTTTAATCCATTTTGGATCATGTCAAAAGTGAATAAAGTCCGCTGCGAGAAGACAACCGGTTGAATACAGTGAGCTTAGAAAAAAATTACAGGGCTGAAACGTCTAGAAATATCTTTAACAGTAAATTTTCTAAACTTATTGAGCATACTTCGTATACTACTTTTTATTTGTTAAACAACATAATGTCAAAGTGTGATATTTTAGAAATGATTACTTGTGCCGGTAGATCGGCAAGATTTAATTGATTTCTGTAAAACCATCACCCAGTTTAAAATCAAGCCAAAATCTTACTGACTAAAAATTATTATGACTAAGCGTGACCCTCATGGCGAGGTCAAAACTTAACCTTAGTTATCCGCACCCAAATGTCAAAAAGGGAAAGAATTTCGGATTAATCCATGCCTTTAATAAGTTTGTTCATTAGTTTAATTAAAAAAACTGAGATGGTGCTTACTGATTTTTAAAAAGTGGCTGAGTTGGAGCTTTACTTTGCTAAAAAGATACAATTAAAAAGTTTTCAAAACAATAACTCAATCAAAGCTTCAGAATCATAAATAGATATTTTGAACTTTATGTTTTTTACACATTGTTCTTTTATATTAATGATATTATTAATTATAATTGGGAATGATAATAACAATAATATAGACTTTTATTACTAAAATTTATAGTTTCGTGTGCTCCGACATTTGATTTCCCCTCTTCCTCTCTATTAACGAAAATTATAGCTGTCTTGATTGACATGTCGATGAATTTTATAGTTTTAATCAAATATACGTGTATGCATGCATGTAGACAAACATTTTCTTAAACAATTTAAAAACAAATCGGAAAAAGCAATATTA